CCTCGGGCCGTTCGAAACAAAATGATTTGTTCTTTATAAAATATATCAGAGGTCCATTTATAAGATCTTCACAACTACACTGATGAAAAGAAGAAAACTTGTGCCTATATCACTGTACACATTACATTACTTCAGCAACGCAGCACAGACTCATTGTGAGGTTAGGCTGCCCCCGCGCAGAGAGTTAGGACCTCCTATTTCATCGACCATTGTTTTAAGAATCGAAGTTTCGAGCTCCAAACAGGAATCGAAGTATTCAAACCGATATCTGTGTACTTCAGATTGACATTACGTTTACCTTCTTTTATGTGACATAAACAAGTGGTTTATATTCAATCATATTTACCGCATACAATTACCTCACACATTGATTACAAAATTACATCACTAATTGAGATAAAGTGCTTCCTTAAATATGAATTAAAAGTTTCAATGGTACAATTTCATAAATATTACATGACAAATTGTGGGCAACTTTTAGTTAATTCATTGCTGCATGAACGTAACAAAAAATTGTAATCATCGCATGATATAAATGTAATACTTTATTTAATGTACGTATATTTCCATACATATAATAAATCCCTGGCGGAAAAATTTCTACGAAAAAGTACGAAAAATTCTACGAAATACTAGCGAAAAAATACAGAGAAACTACTGAGATTGGAACAAGATCTTAGGATTTCTTAGACGTTTTCGTAAAAATTTGTATGAAATTGTAGCTTGCTGTAGAAAATGTTACTTTTTCGTAGAAATGTTTAGCTTCCCATAAATTATTGTACCTTTTCGTATAAATTTTTTATATGCCCGGGAAAAAATGGTTGTGATTACATTACATATATATAGATCACATTAGAGCAAATTGGATCTGATGTGATTACATTAGATATATATGTAGATCACCTTAGAGCAAATTGGATCTGATAAGATGTAAAATATTTACATCTTATCACATCCAAGGTTGCTCTAAGGTGATATATATATATATATATATATATATATATATATATATATATATATATATATATATATATATATATAT